TTTTTTTTTTTTTTTTTTTAACCGCCTCCATTCCTTTTGAATCGGTGAATGAGAGATGTCTAAAGCCAGGGAAGTATGGAAAGATTTCATCCCTGGAGAGGTCAGGGTGGGGTGGAAAGCGGAGGGGGGCTGCAAGGGGGGCAGTTTGAAAACAGGAAACCATGTGGCAGTGTGCATGCAGGGCCCAGCTGATGTGAATGGGCTATTGAGAGGGGAGAGACGCTCCCACTGGCCCAGCATTAGAAAGGTGAAAAAACTTCAGGGTTTGGGTTTTTTTTTTTTCCCCCTAGAGAAAAAAGGCTCTGCCTTTCGGCTAGAATAAAAGAAGGAAAATTTTGTTTTCTAGACAGCGAGTTGCTGAAATATTTTGCTCTCTGTTGCAAACAACAACAAAGTAAATGTCTTATTTCCTTTTTTTTTGTGTGTGTGTGCACTGATTAAATCATAATTTTCCATTCCTGTTTTGGGGAAGCGTTAAGTCTGAAACTGTCTTTCATTCACTGAGCCTGGGGGAGAGGGAAGAGTCTATTTACTTCTCCAAAAACAGGTCCCATTGCTTCTCAGTCTCTTTTTGGACGGAGCAAATGCACTGAGTGCCTGCAGCCGGAGGTGGAAGAGGCTGGCAAAGAAAAGCTGCTGCTTTTTCTTCCTCCCCTCCCTCCTCTTTTTTTTTTTTTTCCTCTCCTCTCTCTGAAGAGATGAATCATGCTCCCACAACTGCAAAGAAATTTTGAAAGCTGGGTGAACACTGGTGCAGGACTAAAAAGGCAAGTAGTGACGTCCCAGCCCAAATCAGGAGGGGAGTGGCTTTATTTCATTATTTTCTTTCCGTTTGCCCAGTGCTGTCATTAGAAATTTGAACTTAACGCAAAACCGAGCCCTGTCTGGTGAACAGCAGACCGACTCAGAAGGAAGAAAGTACTTATTTTTAATTCTTTCAGAGCACAAGGGCGTGAAAGAAAAACCACGTTGGTGACAGTACTTGGATACGGTGATCGGCTTTTTTTTTTTTTTTTCCTTTTTCTTTTTTTCCTGAATTAGACACGTCGTATCTGAGCCTACCTTCTGCCTTCCCGCTCGGAGCATCAGGGTTCCTGCTGCACACATCTGGCTTTTGTTCTCTTTTCAGGCTGGATTTTCATTCTGGTGCTTTTTGGATATCAAAGTTGTCTGGAAAACATTTTTTTTATTATTATTATTACTATAACAGGAAGGCCGATACCATTCTTAGCAGTGACAAAAGAAATAATCCTATATGTATAAAGCTCTCTTCAAATATCTTTTGTTTTCTATAAGTTCCTGCGTTGCCTGTATAAGCAAATCTGTTCTGAGAAGACTTTATCAGCCGGTCGCAGCTCTGGGATTTTCTTGTTCCTGTTAAGAGGCTCGGACAGGCTGGTGTGCTGAGACCCAGGGACTCCACTGAGCACGTATGTGAGAGGTCTGGAGTGCCTGGCCGCGGTCAGCCCGGGGTTCATGGTGGGCTCTGCTCCTCCGCTTCCACCGTTTTGGACAACATGTATGAGCGCCACAAGAGGCGATACAGCCTGTGCGACATCTCCAAGGTGGACAGGAGTGTAGATGTTGTGTTGTTAAAGGTACGATCTTTGTGTACGTTTATTTACGGGTGCCTTTCCCCATCTCTAGCTGGGCTGTCTGTTCCGTGCTGTACCTGTGCCCCTCCAGCTGGACGGTGCAGAGAGGGGAAGCAGGTGGAAGATGTCCCGTCCTTTAGCATGGAGATGGTTTTGAGTGCTGTCAAACCATTTCATGCCGAATATTGTTAGCCCTGCAACCAGACAATCTCTCGTGGCAGGTAAAGGACACCCTTTTGGAGAGCTCTCTCTGGCCATCTTCCCTGTCTACTGCCCTTAACCAGTCCCCCTCCTGTTTTGCAGCCTTCACTGCTTGCGGCCGGGTTTTCTGCGTAAGGTGCCGTTAGGAAAAGGGGTTTCACTGCCAGTGGTCACTTTTGGGGCTGAAATGCCCATGTCCCCTGAAAGTTGTATTCCGCCAAAAAAGGCAAGGTGGATCCTCCTTCGCCTCTGTGGTTTGTGTTGGAACGGTGTCGGTCTTATTGTTTGGGTGTGAGTTTTGTCTCAGGATGGGTTGGAGCAAGAGCCAGGAGTGGCTCTTGGCTAATTGTTCCAGTGCGTTCCTCCTCTAATCTAAAATTAGCAAGTGCTCCACCAAATGGCACGGTGGCAGTCTGGGAATGTCCTGTCTCCGTAACAGCTTTTTGGAGCTTCAGCAGTTTCCTGGCAAAGTGGATGGAAATCGGAAAGCAGCCAGAGGGACTGCAAAACACAGCCCAACTTAGAGATGTGAACTCCTGGAAGAGCATTTCCTTTCCCTCTCCCTTTTTTTCTCTTAGCTGAGGTAGTGGGTTTCTGCATGATCCTGTGGCTTCTTTTTTTATGATTTTTGCTTCTCGTCCTCGTTTCTGAACTGAGATGAGAATGTATTAAAAAGTTACTTTCAAACAATTCTTGGTTTACTTTATCTGCACTAAAATAGACCTAACTCTTAGTAACTTGCTTTGTTTAGGAACGAAAATATTTTCCTTTAAATTCAGTGTATCCTTTGGGTTTTGGTGACACAAATAACCATAATTTGTTTTCTGTACCAACTCAGTTTTCCTGAGTATTTTGATACTCTCACATTGATGATGCTGATTGAGGATTGAATCCCGTAGTATTCAATCTCTGGACACCCTATGAGTCATTAAAAAAGGCAGATATGTTGTTAACACATTACTCGTGCAAAATGACTGCTTAATAATTCTTGGGAGAAGACCTGGTACCCCGACAACCTCAAAACACAATCTTTTTCTTCATAAAGAAATGCCTGGGTTGAAATGTAATTCACTATAATTATCTGACTTCAGTATTTCTGATGTCATCAGTTCCTTAAATTAGTTTTTGTTCAGCAAAGCCTAGATTTTATAACAAAATGTGGCTCTTGTTAGTTCCCACTAGTATTTTCCTAATTGAGTTTCAAAACTGTGGGTTACACTGTCTGTTCCTGCAAATGACTCAGTGTCCATATATGTGTGCGTGTGTGCACGCATTGCTGCTCCAAACACGGGCTGTACAGGCTGCAGATGTTTCACATAGGAGGCTGCTAGTGACAGCTGTAGTTACAATCAACTTTAGCTTGATTTTTAGTCCTCTTTCGTGTTTTAGCTGGTTTCTGTAACATAACTGGTAGATGAAGTTAAATTTTGATGATCTAGGGGCCCAAGCCAGCCTTAGAGTGCGTCAGCGGCAGATCATCTCTTGACGTTAATGGGAGTTGGATCAGACCCTTAATGAGGGAGCTGGGGTGAGATTTTTGGTTGGATTTGGTTTTAATTAAAATACTTAAATGAAAACTGTACCTTATCTAAATCATCATATTTTGGTGAGTTAAGAGGGCAGGGTTTCTTAAGTGTCAAGTATTGAAAAGCAGGCAAATATCCTTACAACACAAGAAAACCCAAAGATGATCCATGAAGAGCGTTTGATCTGAATGAAATTTTATCGAGAGGGCTGCAAAGCACTGAGCAGCTTTCAGTTTGGGCTGCAGATGGACTCGGCCAAGCTGGCTGTCTTTCTGAGTGGTGGATGGGTATGTTCTCTGCTTCATTTTAAGACGGGGAACTCGGTAATCATGACATAGGAAAGAAAAACAGCTGGTGGAGAAGGACAACTGGGACAAGTTGTGAACGAAGATCTTGTGCCATTTGGGTTACTAAATGTTTATAGACGGGGTTTTATTTGCATTGACTGCAACCATTCTTAGATACAGTCGCAAAAGAATTTTGGTCCCTACCGACTGTTTTGCAATGCACGTGTCATCGGAAGGGTCAGTGTGTTGAGGCTCAGATTTTCCATGTTTAGATTTGTGCCTGAAACAGTGGCTTGTGACGTTACCAAAAAGCCCCAAACCTCAGCAATTTTGGGTGTTGATGCACACAATTATTTTTAGCTTTCACATTGTTTCTTTCTCCTCCCCACCTATGAAAAAGCATGAGGCAAATCAGTGTCCCAGCCTCTGTTTTGGAGGTAGGACTTCATCTTTACAGTGTCTCCTTTCGCTGGTGCAGCGAGGTGAACATGATGAACTTGGTCACTGAGCATAGTGGTTTGTCACTCTGCAGGGAAGCCTGGATGATGCAGAAATGGCGTAAAAATTTGCCATCATCTTTCCTGCTGGGATCGCGTTGTAGCAGATGAGGGAGAAGATGTGGGGATAGGGGATGCCTGCTTGTCTGAACAATTCACTGAGCTCTGAGCAGCTACGTGCAGGGTAAAGCAGTCTGTGCTATGTTATTCCAAGGCCCAAAATGGGCAGTCTCAGTGTGCTCATGTGTGAGTTGGCAGCTCAGTTTCATTTTTCTGTTGTGCCTGCTACCACAAATATAACTATCTAGGGACAGAATACGGAAACCATGCTGGCTGGCACCTTGCAGATACATGTGAAGTTAGACAAGCGTTCAAGTCTGGATGAACAGGCTGTGCTTCGCAGACTTAGAAACTGAGAAGTGGGCTCACTTTGGGAATGGGAGACTGAGCAGTCGCAACTGGGAATGGTTTAGAATTGCCCATTGCCTGTATCTCCTTTTCACCTTTGTGCGTGAATGCTCAACTGTTAAGTGTACGTGCAGGTCTAAGTTTTTTAATAACTGGGGAAACGAGGTTTGATTTAGCTGCTTTGCAGATGAACACATCCCATGCACCTTCCAGTTAAAAAATCAGAACATTAATCATGATATTAAAACCAGCCCAACGTTATAAAAACAGTAACAGCATATTGAAATGAAAGAGGCAGCGGTATCGATGAGTTATTCTGCTCCCTGGCAGAGGGCTGCTCTGGTAGCTCTACCCCAGCGCCAGAGAAGATGTTCCGGAATGAACCCTGCCCACCTCAGGCAAGGTGCAGTTTGCAGCGTTGTAAGCTAAATGGGGTATGTGGAAAGGTTCTTAAATCAACTGAAACTAAGCTTTCTTCCACTGGGAGTTACCATACTTACAAAGCTTTCCCTTTTTTGTGTTTTTGGTTATTCGACACGTAGGCATGTTCATTCGTCCTTTGGGGTGGTTCTTCTGAGGGAAGTACTGTCCTCAGATGGTGGGTATGCAGTCTGTCCTTGGACTTTGCGGCCCTAAAGTGACTCTGAACTTTAATCCTGCGTCTGTCCGCACTGGCTCGGTTACTGAAAGGGCGGCAGGAGAGAGGTGTACTTAGGATGGTGTGAACAACTTCTGAGTTTTTCGGTTTGTCTCATGCAGAATTAGAACTGGAAGGATAACTTAAAAGAAACTAATGTTTTTTCACCATAGGCACATACATATTTGTGGGAATTTTGCTCCCATTTTAGTTAAGAGATTTTTTTATGCAAAGCCATTGCTGTTACTTTTAAAGCTTAATTAAAATTTGTTGTTACCAGGACTCTTACTTCTGCTTGTGGAGGGCATTCCAGTGCCAAGGGCTGGAAAATGTTCTTGGGGCACATGTTCCTTTCCCCAGCTGGGACTTTGCCAGGGGGAAAAGTACGCTCTAGGAATTCAGCGTTGCCCTTACACCACAAAGTGCTAATTCAGTCAGTCATTTAAAATCTCCTGTGGTTGTAGGAGCCTCTTCTGGTGTAATCCCTCGGTGTAGTTCTCTATAGCACTTCCTGCTGTGAGCGAGGTTACTGGTGACCTCCTTTAAAAAATGTTGTTCTGATATGGTACCACCAATTCTGTAAAGGTAAAAGGCTCAGTATTGCATATTCACAGTGCTAGGAGATAAACCATTGCAGAAATGCAAGTGTAGTCACTTTGTCCCTTGCTGCATACATTGGAAAATGGTCTTTGTGTTCCTCAACCACATAGTGAACCTTCCCCTAAAGCTAAGGAAATGCATGGGGAGATTACAAATAATTTAAATTTTAAAAAACCCCCGGAATTTGCAAACAAATTGACTGTCTGCCCTTAGTATTGTCTGGCAAGATGATTGCTGAATTATTGCTCTTACCAAGTTTTCTGTATATGGAGCTTTTTTGCATCAGTGTCTATTGAAGGAAGACAGTGGAAATTTCTTCCCCAGGTGCCCCATCACTCATGCTGCTTTTGAAAGAGGTTTGGAGGATCTTGAAAGGTGTTTTTTGTGAAGGGAGTGAATCAACTGTTGCTTTAGTTTCTAGTTCAGGAATTAGAGGCTACTGGATTATTCCATTGTAAATGAAATTGTCAAGTTAAAAGTTGCTCAGAATAAACATTGAATTCCATTTATGTGTACAAATTTCTTCAATGAAAACTGTCCTACAGGAAATTTTCAGGAACAGGTAGTTCCTAGAGAATAATTAAGATTTGTATTAAAAATTAATACTACTAATAAGTTATAATCCGTTCTAATTGAATTTTAAGTATTGGGTGTTTTCTGCAATTTTTGTTCTTTGATAGATATTTCAAGCCTTTCCTCCCATCAGTTATTGCTCAGTATGGTGTACAAGTACTTAATTTACACCGAGCAAGCTAGAATTACTCTGCTAAATATTTTCCTAAGTGCAGTGGTATCTGGTTTTAGCTGCAAGGTAGAACTTAGTCTGGAAGGTGGGGAAAAAAAAAGGAGGGGGGGGGGGAGAAATGGAAACTTGTAAATTTAGGGAAAGTTAAAACAATATGGAGGGAAGATGACACTCCAGAGATTTGCTAGGAAATGAAAGTTAAAATCATCTGGTTCCTTCTGCTCTAGAGATGTTGATTTATATTGCTACCACTGAGGTCGACAAGTGCAAACTTTTACAGTAGGGGAAGATTTCCTGAGGGTTCGGTGTGTTTTCTTTGTTGTGAAATGGAAAGCAAGAAGAGTTAAAACCAGAGGGAGTAAAAAAGTACTTTTCCGTGGTGGAAAGGTAGGAGAGGAGCAGGGGAGCCAGGTAGCAGCTGGCCCCCGAGGCAAGTGTTCCTAGCAAGCCCCCCGCCACGCCGCTCGGCCAGAAATAGACATTTTTAGATGTCTTCTGAGAAGGATGTCCCAATTCTGCTTTCCGTGGGCAGACACCGTACAGGACCGCGAGCCCTGGAGGGGGTTAGATAACTCCCCAGCCAAGACTGTCACGCAGGGGGAGAGGAAGGAAGAGCCTGGGAACAGAGGCTGGGGTCACTCGTCATTCCCGCGCGATGGAGGACATCCCAGCCCCGTTTGTCTCACAGGTTGTCCAGCGCCGTCCTTTTCTTGTGCTGAGAGGTTTCTGCATTATGTTACATCAAGTTTTAAATTCGGTGTCTGCTGGAAGACATCTCTGAGGGTCAGGGAATACACACGTGTGCCCAGAAATTGCGATCAAACCGTTGGCTGCTTGCAACCCCAGCTGGTGTCCTAAAGCTCTCCTCGGACATCCAGCCTGCTGGTGTTGCACAGACAAACAGAAAATCCTTTGGGATTCAGTTTTTGATGCCTGGGGTTGTGCTTCCATGATTCATTCTGTGTCTGAGCTGCAGGCTCAGACACATTCAGGCTTCTGCATGGAAAAATAGCCGGTTCTCTCCTGGCGTTTTTTCAAAAGCTGCATATTGAAACTCCGTTCCCAGAGGCTGTTTCATATTTGCTTCTGCCATCTGAACACCGCTGCATCCTCTGCTCCCACCGCAAAGGCTTGGGGTGCCCAGAACCGATGGGCTATAATCAGCGTGGGCAAGGCAGAAAGTGCGCGGGGGTTTTACCATCCTCTGCGGCCAGCAGCCTGCGGTCCTGTCGTCGGGCTTCTCTTAGCAAAACAAAGACTGCGGGAAGGAGGGAGGGATAGCTTTGTTACATATAATGCACCCATGTCCACAGAATCCCACGGTAACCTCACTGTGAATTTCTCCGTACTAGTGCATTCCCCAACCCATGATGCTCAGGCACTTTTGTGATGGTATTTTCTCTACGAGCTGTACTGTGGCTGTACCTGCTACTCCTGAGTAAATACGGGCAGAATTCAGCTGTTGAGAGATCCCTGTACTCAGACTTGGGCTGTGGATAATGGGGTTTGTGTTTTGAGTGTCTGTGGACCACCCAGTTGCCTGAGAGCAGGCTGTAAACCTCCCTCAAATCCTGTCTGGGCTCATTTTGGCACAGGGAATACTTGTATATAGTAGTGGTTTCCTTTGTTTGTAGTTTGCTGATTATTATTATTATTCCTGAATTAGGGCTACTGAGATAAATACTTAGTTCCTAATGTTTTGATTTGTACATAATCAGGTATATGTGAAACAGCACCTTAAACCTCAGTGTTGCTTTCTCATTACGTTTTTTTTTTAGAAAAAAGCAGACATTTTCAGTACTTGGCAAAGTCACAGGGCAGAGGAGAGAGCTGGCTGGGTAATGGGAAAAATACTTAAATCTTTTTTGAAAAAATGCCAATGTCTATAATGCATTTTCAGTAAATGACTCAATTGGTTCTATTAAAGGAAAAAATATAATCTTAATTCAGCCTATTATAGTTTATTCTTTACTAATTAACTGATAGGCTTGAACCTCCTCATATTTTGCTTTCTTACTGCTAATTATTGAACAGGATGTTTAATTATCAGTTTCCAATAGTGTAGATCTGTACAAATCAGGACCAGTTCCCTTAAATTTGATGGAGATACATTGACTTAAGAGCATGAAGGATCAGGCTTAGTATGACGAGGAAGGAGTTAGGTGCAAACCAGTGAGAAGGAGTCAGAATTTGATTTTATAACCGAATTGGGTCATCCCTTCATTTGTGTGGACATGAGCACATTTGCATCTGCATCAGTGTGTTCAGGCTCAACCTCTAGATTTGCCTTTAATGAAATGTAAGACAGTGCGCTGCAAAATAGATTCTGCTTTGGCTGGAAGAAAATATTAACAAGATATTTGTTGACTTCACAGTCATAACGTGATATTTATTGACTTTAGAGCTCTTTTAAGACTAGAAGGTATGTATAAATTCTGCAGTGAAGTTTAATTGCTGAGGTTAGGTACCCCTCAGCCTCTCTGAGAACAGGGGTATCTTTCTTTGATTGAAAGAATCCAAACAGTGCCCCATTGTCCCTGTAGCAGTTAAAATTCAGCATTTTTGTGTCACTTGGAAAAAAAAAAAAAATACTGTTTTGAGTATGTGCTTACAAAAGCCTTTCTCAGAGTTCAGACTGCCTCTCTTTCCCTCTCCATCTCTCACTTAATATAGATGTAATATGTGTAAATGGGAGAAGTTGGTCATGGGGGGGAGGGTATGTGTGTTGAATAGAGGTGCAGGGAAGGATGGGATCCTAGATGTGTGTACGTATTAGGAGTCTGATGGGATCTTAGATGAATGTATATAATGCATATAATGCCTGTGGATGGGTAGAGGCCGTGAGTGACCTGCAGGAAGTGTACATCCTACCGGAGAAAACCAGCCTGTAAAATTGCGTGGAGGTGGGTGGGACGTGCACTGAGGCTGCCCTGAGACACGGCTCTGGTAGAACATGAGGTCTCCTTCACCTCTCCTGGGAGACTCCTGCTCATTTTTCCCCTCTCTGATCTTCTCTGCTCCTTCCCCGTCTGCCCCAGCAAGAGCTGCTGACGTGGGAAGGTCACGGCATCCTCGCTGCTGGAGGATTTTAAGGGCAGGTTGGATTAAGACCTCTCAGATTATAGTCGAGCCTGACTTGGAGCAGCAGAAGGGGACTAGCTGACCTGTCAAAAACTCTTCCAACCCCATTTTGTAATCGCAGAAGTATGGAGGAGGACAAAACCCAAGGAAGAAAAATGTGCTGTAGAAAGTAGCTGACAGGTCTGGGGGAGCAGAGCGTCGACTGTGCGGTGAGGGGAGCTGCTGGCAGGAGCCCCTTCAGTGAAGAGCAGGGGGGTGCAGCCAGACCGGTGAGGAGCACCAGCCAATGACTCCGCAGAACAAGTTCCATGATCTCAGCGAGAAAGGGAAGAAGGACGTGGGTCATTAGTCAAAGCAGCAAGTCAGGTCAAGGGTAGGAGAGTCCTGGTTTTTCGTTATTTAAAAAAATGAACAAAAAAGAAAAAGCAGTGCATTTCATAACATTGAATAAAGGAGAACATCGAGGGGATGAGACTCTGGCAAGGGACTGCAAAAAGGGAACAGGGTCTTGGAGGAGGTTTGAAGATGGGTCAGAGGCAAAAAGTAGATAGTAAAAATTCTCTATTTGAGAGCGAAAAGGACATAATTTCAGGAGAGAAAAGGAAACCCAGAAAGAGGGTAGGAGAAATAGTTGGCATAAAATGAGCATCACCCACTTCAGGAGCTTTCTTTTAGCTACAACATAACGTGCGAGGGCTCGTGTGTTGAGGCACGTCAGGAGGGGAAACAGCCTCTGGATTTTGGGACGTGGGACATGGGATTGTCAGGTGAGATTTGCTTGCGGTTGGCAGAGAGAGGCGTTTGGCTGGGAGAAACGGCAGAGCTGCTGAAGGACAGAGAGCCGAGGGCCTTCCAGAGTCTACCAGCTGTAGACAGAAGTGTTGGGAAGCGTTTGTTGGCTGAGCCAAGGGTTGTGGATAATCCAGCAGACTTTGGAGTCAGAATGCTGGACAACACAACCCGAGTAAGGAAGAGAAAAACGGAGACAGATGCGGGAGGACTGAGAACACATCACTCATCCTTGCTGAAAGAGTTGGAAGTCATGGAAGGGGTGAGGGACAGGGTGAGATGATAAGGACTGATGTTGAAATAAACCATGTGATGTGTCAGTGTTAAAATGGGGGTTTCTAACATCATCATCATCATTTCAGTTATTGCACACATGTGAAGTTAAATATACAAAGTGCTGCTTGTTCTCACCATGACTGAACACTTCCCTAGACCTCGATTGCGTATTATCAGAGTGCCTTACTATCTTTAAGGTAATTATCTTCACAGCAATATGGGTGGTAAGGATTTGCTATTCTGTGGGTAGTGAACGGAGGCATCAAGCAGGGGAGTATCTTGCCTGCAGTACCACTGCAAATGGAAGTGGGAGTTGTAGCCAGGTTTCTTCAGTCCTCAACTAGTAGCTTAAATGCTGGCTCATCCTCCCTCTGAACTCCTGCCTTGGGTTGGAGCCACCTTGAAATCATACTTTCCACACAGAAAAAAGTTGTTTGGCTTATTTTAATGGCTTGTTTAGTGATGCTAGGAAAAAAAAGTAGTAAGTTACTTTTGAGGTTAGTACTGGGACAAAATAAAGCCATAACTATATATCTGCCGGTCAACGCAGAGTGACATCGCAGAAGAGGCTCACAGGGGTGTTGGCAAGCGTGGCCTTTCTCTGATTTGTGCTGGTCTGTTTTTCAGATAAACCGCGAAAGCTGGTGTTCACTGGAGCCATGTCCCAGTTCTTCCCTTCTGGAACGCAAGCGGACACGGGAGTCTCCAGGTGAGCAGCTCTGCAGTTCTCCTTCTTTTTCTTCTTATTTTTGACATCCTAGCCTCCACGGGGAAATACGTAAACCAAAGAAAAAGTGCAGTGAATCTGCCATGAGTCATTGTTAGCACATGGCTGCAGCACCTGACTTGCAGTGAGCTGTGTGGTGTGTCACCTTCCTAGGTAATTCTGCATTCAAAGTGTTTCTGATTTCTTTTAATAAACTAGAAAGGTGTAATGGGGGACTTCTAGCTAAAATGATAATACAATAAAAGAAATGTCAGAAATTTAAACTCCTGAATCCATATTTAGATCCAGATCAGTGGCTTGATTGGTTTTCTTTCTTGATTTCTTTTCCTCACCCTAAAAGTTGCCATGATCTCCAGGCTTCAGGAAGCAGGAAGGTTGTTCATAGCCATGGTTCCCACACCCTGCCCACCAGCCATGCCAAGCTCCCAGCCCTGCGTGCTGGCTGGTGCTTTCTGGCTCTTCCACTGGGACAGAAAATCTTGTCTGGGCAAGTTTCAAAGAGGGGTTGGTGTCCAAGATAAGAAAGAAAGCATTTCTTTTCACTGACTTATGAATGTTCAAAACAAAGAGAGTAATTTATCAGGGCCCTGAATAGTGACTTTGCTTGGGCTGTTCATAGGGAGGACACTTCTTGCCTTGCTCCTAATATGAGCAGGGGTCTCACCTTAATCTCCTTCAGTTTACCTGAGACACTTGAAAATAAAACAGAGATTTGATCACTTCGTGTCAATATGAAATTCAAACTCAGTCTTTTCAAAGGGTTAATGTGGGTGACTGTCCTGGGCGGTTTATTCTAGGTAGAAATTGTAGCTCCCAGAGGGAGGACACTTCTTGCCTTGCTCCTAATATGAGCAGGGGTCTCACCTTAATCTCCTTCAGTTTACCTGAGACACTTGAAAATAAAACAGAGATTTGATCACTTCGTGTCAATATGAAATTCAAACTCAGTCTTTTCAAAGGGTTAATGTGGGTGACTGTCCTGGGCGGTTTATTCTAGGTAGAAATTGTAGCTCCCAGCGTA